GACAGTGAGAGAGAGAGAGAGAGAGAGAGAGAGAGAGAGAGAGAGAGAGAGAGAGAGAGAGAGAGAGAGAGAGAGAGAGAGAGAGAGAGAGAGAGAGAGAGAGAGAGAGAGAGAGAGAGAGAGAGAGAAAGAGAGAGAGAGAGAGAGACAGGCGGCCTATAAGACAATCGATCGAGATTTCGGCGAGCCGTCCAGAGTCTGTGCAGCATGATGACGCCCACACGCAATGAGGTTCTCGGCACGGGCAGGGTGCAGGTTCATTTTTTTTGCGTGGCACACACGTTTTTCTCTTTTGCTTGGAGAGTAACAGATTTTCTGTCGGTGCTACGACGTTATGCATGAGACATTGAAGTGTTCTGATGTAGCACGAGAGACAATTGTTTCGAATTGTTTTGGGGGGGGGAGGCGGCGGGATAGTCAAGCCAAGCAGCAGTGTCTACAATCTTCGCACGGACCTTCGCGTTCTACCTACAACAGCTTGCTCGTGCATTTCTCCCGCATGTACAGCAGTCCAGTAGTCGTGCTGTATCTGTTCGAACACATGAGGACGGATTGGGCCAGACTCTCTTGCTGTGTTCCACGGCGGCACACGATGTCTTGTCCGCTACCGCCGTTATTTTTCTGTATCTATGCACTGGGAGTCTAGTGTTGAGCGAGAGGGCTGCTAGGGGTGGAGGTGAACCATACGCTACAGGTGAGGAAGTCTGAACGGCGTGTACATCATCTACAGCATGCGTACCACCTGATGTATGCCGAACTTCTCGCATCGTTGCCGCATGAGCCGGCACGATAACTAATGCATGCTTGCAAGGGGGACAGAGACAGCTGCCACCACGTGCGTATCGCCGATCTCAGCCGGGAAAGCAACAACAACGCGATGATGATAGCGGAGCTACAGCTTCGCACTGCCTAGCCAGAGAGATGCATTTCTATTCCATCAAAATGCATGGGGTTGGATACCGTTCGTACCAGGGCGCTTGCTCTCAGACGTACGTGTCTTTCTCATCTCATCGATCGATGTTTCGAGGACGATACTATTAGTTTCAATTCCAGGGCAACCTCCCTTTCTTAGCCCCTCACTTGTTTCACGCCCAGGTTCCCTGCAACCAGCACCCCGCCTGCAGCAGCAGCAACCAATCAAGTTCCCGAATACCCCCCCCCCTGTCTACCCCCAGTTATCTTTCCCTCTCCTAGTCCCGCAAGGTTCCGCCCCCAAGTAGCCCGCATATCGTATACAGTATATCACTACCACAACTTCGAAACATATCAGAGATCATCTCCACACGTGGCTGGTTGGCCGAAAAGAGGTACAGTACACCGCAGACCGAAAGAGGTACACAGACAGACCCGCCCAGACCAAAACCCCCAAAAGGACCAAGAAAACGAGAATCAAACCTTAAACGACGTACGTCACAACACAGCCAACTCAACGGAACACGTGGTTCGACACGGGAGGCACCACTCGCAACTTCGATACACTAATCAAAAGTCCCCCCCCCCTACCCCCCCCCCCCCTCCCGATTCCCCGGCTCCCGCCAGTTTCTCCCATCGCGCGAGACGAAGCCAAGCGAGCTCCCTCTAAACAGGGGCATCGATCAATGCACACCATCTTCCACCCCCAGCCACTAGCGTGCGAATTTCACTCGATACTACCCTGGACCCCTCTCCCCCCCACCTTTTCCGGCGCGAACAGACAGCAGCAGTTTCTAGCTTGCAACACAAA